TTGGTTTCTATAAATGAGAAGAAGACGATGTTTCGTATGGATCCCAAGCAACCATACAACACAGTTGGCTGCGATGGTCTTCCGATCCCTGGGCGCCGTTATATGCTAGGTAAATCTTTCAACATATGCCAGAAGCACGTAGACTTTGGATTTCTGAGAGTCCATCTTGTTTTTCTGAGTCACGCGTCAAAATTCTTCCATTATTTTTTTGATTTAGAATTTTCTCTTGGAACTTATGTGATGATGGATTAAGTTTTTTTTTGCAGTTTCTCATTGTACGTATTGTTTTCAGGAGATGTCTACTATGTAACTTACAACCAAGACACTGGTTTGCATCAAGCTTACAAATATCACTATGCGGAACCAGCTTACTGTGGCATCGTTCGTCTAGTTCATCAGGAAGGAGCGGATGAAGGAGCAAGAGTAGATCTCTTATTTCTTTAACCCATTGGATCTTATTACTAGATTATTGGAAATTACAGCACGCTCTCATTCAATGGCGAATTGAACGGAATCCAATCATTGGTGATAAATTTGCATCTCGACATGGACAGAAAGGAATAAACTCTTTCCTGTGGCCTGTCGAAAATATGCCGTTTAGTGAAAGTGGAATGGTTCCGGATATAATTTTCAATCCTCATGGTTTCCCCAGTCGGATGACCATAGGTAGAAATACTTTAGCTCCATTGAAGTTATTGGAATTGGGTTCATTAATGTGATTCAGGTATGATGATTGAGAGCATGGCAGGAAAAGCAGCGGCTATGCATGGTGAGGTCTACGATGCTTCTCCTTTCGTTTTCAAGTGAGATTTTGGTAATAAATGATTATGTTGTGAGATTATTGCCTTTTTCTTTAGCGAAAAGCACACTGCTATCAACCATTTTGGAGAATTATTATCTAAAGCTGGGTATAATTATCTTGGGAATGAAACATTTTATTCTGGAGTGGATGGGCGCCAGATGGAGGTAAATTCAACTTTCACAGGTTAACGAAGTGTTATCCAAATAATTTTAGGTTCAAATCTTCTTTGGAGTTGTTTACTATCAACGACTCAGGCACATGATTGCAGACAAATTCCAGGTGGGAGAAGATAATATCTTTTCAAAGTTCCCAGATCTTAAGTTTGTTTTCTAGGTGAGGGCAACTGGCCCTATAGATCCCATAACGCATCAACCAGTTAAAGGTCGTAAGAAAGGAGGTGGTATCCGGTTTGGAGAAATGGAGAGAGATGCGATAATTGCTCATGGAACTGCTTTTGTGTTGCAGGTGTGATTGTTACATTTATTGCGGTTAGGGGCTAATTAAAATTCTTTTACCTAAGGATCGATTATTGAATTGTTCCGATCGTGATGTAGCATATGCCTGCCGACGATGTGGTTCGCTGCTGTCAGTGTTGATGAGCACAAAGGCACAAGCTGTTCGAAGTAGAAAGGTGTGTAAAGTTGAATTATGGTCTGAGGATACATGTGGTTAGAGCCAATATAATTTCGAACAGAATAGAGAGGATCTCAGCTTCAAAGATATGGATAGAGCCATTGATCAAAAAATCTATATAGCACTAATGCACACTTCCAGGTTTTCATTGGGAACGACTAAAACGGCCTCTCTCAATTATTTTTTTATTTGTCACCAGCCAACAACAAAACAGGCCAATTTTATTGACAATCTGAAACCTTGTCGCATAAAAAAATTCAAGACGTTCCAATGACAATATTAGAGCGGCCAGCACTTCAAAGGCGGCTCATAATTCCCCGATAAAAGCATATTTGATTTTTGAGCGTAACAAGGTTGCTGTCGGGAAATACAGGAGAAGAAAATCATTTGGCTGCTTTGAGACTGCGCAGTCATCTCAAGTACGGCAACCAAACAAATAGAATTCGAAGACGGACATATAAGAGCAAATGGTTTTGAAATAAAGCCTTGTCAACGTTCACAGGATTGAACGAAAGCACAGCGTAAAGTACTTACTCGCATAGGATTATAACATTACCGCGCTTTAGGTCTCATACCTGCTAAAAAAGGAATGACGAGCACTTGCAGTTGAAAAAAGCCTGTCACCTTAATAAATTTTCCAGAGCTCTTTGAGAGCGGTCGCAGTTTTTACAACCTCTCAATTTAATTCATGTCTGATAACAGAGTGAAAAAAATT